TTTTCCCGGACACTGCCCGGCTTTTGGGGATTTCCCCCCGGACGGGATTTCGAGCCCCCAAAAGCCGGACATGTCCGGGAAAATCCAGACGTATGGTAACCCTAGAAGTGATCAGCCAGGGAGAGTTTGTTGTGATGTTGTAGTGCTTGTAATCTTATATGCAGCTGGGGAGCGCTGGCAGGTGGAGCTTCCGTGGGGCCAGGCACACTCTGGTTACTCTGCACTGAAGCTGAGAGGTGTAATTCCCAGCTTGGGTAAATGTACACACGCTACTTCTGCTTGAGAGAGTGCACTACAAATAGCAGCTGACTTGCTGTAGTGTGGGCAGGGGCTCAGGCTGGCCACCAGAGAACATACCTAAGACCTGAGAGGGGATTGTACTCGGTTGGCTAGCCAGAGCCACTGCGGCTACACTGCCTCCAGCAGGGCCCATCTACCCAGACTGGAAATCATGCCTCCAGCCCCAGTGTAGATGTTCCCTCTGAGTCCTGTCTCCCCAGCTGCTCCTACTGCTTCAGGAAAGCTCATTTCAAAGCAACACTCTGCATAAAATGAGTGGCTGTTCTTTGTCCGAGTTGGGTCTCTTCAAACACAACGTGCAGTAAATTTCTGAAAAACCCTTCCCTATTCCATCTGAACTCTCTCTCTCCCTGTCATTCCCATACACAGCCCTCCATCTCTGTCTATCCCTCCCTGTCATCCCCATACATATCCTTCCATCTCTCTCTCTCTCCATCTATCATTCCCATACACAGCCCTCCGTATCTCTCTCTCCCATCACCATACATAGTCCTCCATCTCTCTCTCTCTCACCGTACATAGCCCTCCATATCTATCTATCTCTCTGTCTATCTATCATCACCATAACTACTTCTCTGTATCCATCTAATTAGTTCCCGGTGGCACCTAGTTTCATGTCTTGGTGGCCTCACCGCCCTGGCCAAGGGCTGATTGAGTGTGAACTCTGTTTCCTACAGCTCTCAGTATCTGCTCTCTCTGGATTCTGGCTGCCTGACTGTCTCATAACACCGTGGCACAAGGACAGATGGTCTGATGCTTGTGGGGCTTGACTGGGGACTGGAAGATCTGGGTTTTGTTCCTTGTTGTGACTTGCTGTGTGATCCTGGGCAAGTCACTAGATCGCTCTGTGCCTCCATTCACTGTCTGTAAAGCCTTCAACTGGCTTGTCTGCTTTCCCTACCTGTGTGTGCAGCGCCAGCTCAATGAGGCACTGATCCCAGCTGGGGACCTCTACGAGCTACTATAATACTACTGGGCTGGGCATACTGGCACACACTGGCAGCGAAGGGGTTAATGAGGGTCTGGGGCCCAGATAGCCCTGCCCTGCTTCACCTGCAGCCGATGTCAGGGGTGGAGAGGGGGACTAAAAGGGGAAGGCCAGGGGCTGCTGAGGAAGGACAGCCGAGTTCTGCTGCTCCCTCGGGGAGGGAAGCCAAGAGCTGGAGATGGAGCACTGCCTGGGCGAGCCTCTGCTGGAGGGGATGGCCAGGGCCAGGAACCCGGCCAGAGCACCGCTGAATGAGGATGGGCACTGAGTGGATTTCCAGCAGACGTCCTTGGTTTTGAGTTCATAGAGTCCATTATTTTGGGGTGCTAGTGCCCCAGAAGGGGTGGGACTCCAGCCCGCCATAGGCAGAGCGCTAAAGCCTCCGCACAGCGGACCCCGTGAGAGGTGGCCCTTGACCATGGAGACCCCCGACCGCATGAGGGGGGCCCGCTTGGGCCTGTCACGGCTGCTACTGATTTTGTTGTTTTAATGGATTCATTGACCAAACCAAACTTTAAAAGGCTGAGGAGCTCAAAGCGCTTGACAAACAATGAGGGACAGGTGGTGTTCTCAGCCCCATTTCACAGCCAAGGAAAGTGACATGCACAATGCCAGCAGCAGAACCCAGGGGTCCTGATTCCCCAAAGGGCTGGTGCTGGTTGTTTGTAGGCCCAGGCCCATCACACCCTTCCTGCCTTTGCTAGGAGAGTCCCGAGTGAGCAGCCAGGACAAGAGGACCCTTGTGTGAGGTGCTCCTCTGAAAAGCCTGAACCCCACTGACTCAGAGAGCGAGTCTCCAGGGGACGTGGCTGGACTGGGTTACCCTGGGGGACACGTCATACCTAGGCTAGAGGAGGCTGTTAGGAACTCAGTGCCCTGGCTGTGTCTGTCTTATTTGAGGTGTCACCAAGGAGACCCAGGAGAGATGTCGTCCCTGGATCAAGAGCTCTGTGAGCACGTAAGCCCTTCGCTAAGGAGGTGAAGGAAGGGTAACGAAAAGTGGTAATTAAAGAGCAAGACCCCTCCCTCCCCCAAGCAATTAATGATGAGCTTTCAGGATGGAGGGGGAAGCTAAGAACTTCTGTGCAAGGGATTAATCCACTCCTTCTACCTTGTCACACACACAGTTGTATACACACCCACTAAAACAGTCTCTCTCTCACACACAGTCATATACACACCCACTCAAATTCAGTCACATACACCCAGCTGTATACACACCCCCTCGAACACAGTCACACGCACACAGCTGTATACACACCTGCTCGAACAGTCACACACACACATAGCGGTATACACACTTGCTTGAACACAGTCACATGCACACAGCTGTATACACACCTGCTCAGTCTTTCTCTCTCTCTCTCCTACACACACACGTATACACACCCTCTTGAACGCAGTCACATGCACATAGCTGTATGCACACCCGCTCGAACAGTCTCTCTCTCTCTATCTCTCTCTCTCTCTCTCACACACACACACACACACACACACACACACACACACACACACACACACACACACACACAC